ACACACACACACACACATAAACTTGGCTTGGTGAACGTGAAGAATTTTGACTATAATATATAAAAATATTGTGTAAGGTAATGTAACCTGTGTAAGGAACATGAATGTGCATCAAACCTTGCTTGTGCCCATAAATCATTCAAAGGTTTTGAATTTTAATTGTATTTTTATTGTGTGTGTTTATTGCATGCCATATGGTGTGTACAAACCCCAGAGTATGTGAGCGGAATGGTGCGACAACAATTTCCCCTCCGCACTCCGAGCATTTAATAATCACTCCGCTCCGAGTTCACCATTTCCCGCTCCTGCTCCACTCCTCGCTCACTGATATCAGAATCACCGCTCCACGGCTAAAGTATTTCAGTATGTTTGAAATATCACAGTTCTGTTCATAACGTATATTAAAAGAAAAAAATAAAATAAATAAAATGACAGGAGCGTTTCAAAGTGGATTATTGGAACACTACTAGTGTGCAAACTTTTTTTCTACCACATGACAAGCTAATAACATGGTTGTCAGCATTAAAAGGTAGGCTATTGATGCTTTTTGCAGTGCAAATTTTGTTTGTGATGAACAATTACATTATTTTACCTACGGATCGCTGCATTTCTTACAGATTTCTGCTCATTCGAAATCTGATGCAGATGAAGTAGCACTGTATAAGATTACATTTGTTTTAATGCATTATTGAGAGAGCGATTTGCGTGTGAATGTGTTGTACCTGTTTAAATCATGATTTCACCTGAAAATATTCAGGAATATAGAGAGAACAAACAAATTCCTTAATGACTACCCTATAACTTCCCGCTATGTCATTGCCGTCAACATAGCCTTCACATTCTTTCTGATTTGAGTGATCCTTCTCTATCAAGCTAGCTAAATATGTTTAACGTGAATGCTAAATGTGCAGTTATATTACGGGCCGTTGGCATGAATTGTAATCGTGATGGAGCGCTCTTGGAGCAAATGAAAACCACGACGCTCCGACTTTTAAAAAATCCGCTCCTCGCTCCATTCAAAATCACACCGCTCCACTCCACTCACATACTCTGGTACAAACTGCATGACTAGATTTGCTATGCTAAACAAAGCAGCCTGGCACACTTGATTTCAGTAGGGTTAAATTAATATCATCATCCAAACTGTATATTATTGCTCTTTTGAAACTCAAAATGATTTGTTCATAAATCAGGACTGATTCATTCAGAAAATTCGACTCACTAACTGAATGACCTGCTTGCAAAAGTTCTCAAGTTACACAAGGCCACACAGTTCAATCTGATTACCAACTATTGTAAAGGACAGACAAGAACTACAGTGCACCCGGCTTATGAGATAAAGAAAGAAAGCTTTTTTTAACAATATGCAAATCTTTCATATCTTATAAAGTGCTGAATTAAACTGCTTCTAAGTAACTGTTCTTTTTTTGTCATTATTAAACTGGGAAAGCGTACCACTTCCATTTGCACATTTTCAATTTGCAAACAAAGAAGTAATTAAATACATTTCAATATACTGGGGTCATTAAAGTGCGTTTCTCCAGCATTGCACTTGTTTTTTTTAAATGACAGTTTCTCTAATCTTTTTATTGGTTAGTTGGTCTAATTGGTTTATTAGTCTGCAGTCCTAATTCTCTCTGCGTTAAACTGATGCTAATGCCTTGCAAATGAGATGCAAAACACTTTGTTAGTGGACCGAAGTTCTAGAACTTGTTCATTTTCATCAAATTAATTATAAAGATGCGTCACAAGCCAACATAGAACATTGCGATTCCAGTTGCATCATGGTGCTGTTGTTCCATCTTTGAGATTTTCTGGAACCATTGGCGAAATGGTGTTGGGTGGTGTTTGTTTGGCCATACAGTGCTTGTAGGTCACAAGAGGTTGGCTTCATACTCCATACAAGAGCTCAAAGTGTGTTCATGGGATATCTGTAATGATGGCTGCCACTGAAAGAGTTTGTGTTTTTGGACCATGTGTTGGTGCAGGGTTTGAAGGTTGCTCCTTGGTGCCCTCCATCTATCCACTGGAGACACTGCACAACTCGCTGTCCCTCAAGCAGGTGGATGAGTTCCTCACTACGTTGTGTAAAAACGGGAGCGAGACACAATTCAAGAGGCTCAAATGTAAGTGGATGAATACTTTGACGTTCATTGTTACACTTGATTATCATTAAATCTATTTTACATGAGGATGTTGATCACACTTGCATTAAAGTTAAAGTATTTACACTGAACTGACACCAAATGCCATTGTATAGCTATAAACTGCTTAAATTGTCTGAATTGCCACTTACATTTAAAATAGGCCTTAGTGTTTAGGTTCTTTATTGACGTCAACGGTTCCATGAAGAACCTTTAACATCCATAGAACCTTTCCATTCCACAAAAGTGGATATAGGTTATAGTGGAAAAAGGTTCTTTAGATTTTTAAGATGTTCTTCACACTAAAAATGCTTTTAAACAACTGTTCACTGAAAGATTGTTTGGGGAACCCAAAAATTTTTCTTCTGTGGCATTGCTGTGAAAACACCCTTCTGGAACCTTAATTTTTAAGAGTGTATATTATTTTCTTTTCTCTTTAGCCCTGTCTGCCATGTTTGAGTCACACTCCCAGCCATCCTTAGATGTTGATAATCAGGAGACACCAATATCAACCCCGGTCCGGAACCAACCAGCTTCACAGTCTCTCTGGTGTGAGTATACTTCACTTTACCATCATATACACCCACTTTATTAGGTACACCTTGCTTGGACCTTCTTTTGCCTTCAGAACTGCCTAAATTCTCCATGGCATAGATTCAACAAGTTGCTAAAACATTCCAGAGAGATTTTTGTCCATAATGACATGGGGATAAATTTTTTTTCCGTTTTTTATTTTTCTGGACTCCTTTTTAATGGTTAAATTAAATTTTATAGGGGTGCCGCCCCCCTAATATAATGTCAGGGGAAACACTGATATGAGTGTAGTGAACTCATTGTCATGTTCAAGAAACCAGTTTGACACAATTTGAGCTTTGTGACATGACACCTCTGCTGAAAGTAGCCATCACAAGATGGATACACTGTGGCCAAACCCTAGAGATGGTTGTTTGTGTGTGAAAATCCCAATGGATCAGCAGTTTGTGAAATACTCAGACCAGCCTGTCTGGTACGAACAACCATGCCATGTTCAAAGTCACCCAAATCACCTTTCTTCCCCTTTCTGATGCTCTGTTTGAACTTCAGCAGATCATCTTGACCATGTCTGCATGCCTAAATGCATTGAGTTGCTGCCATGAGATTGGCTGATTACATATTTGTATTAAGGAGCAGTTGAACAAGTGTTATAGTAAAGGCAAATGTTTGACATGGTATTGTCATCTTATAACTGTCATAGTACCTTTTTTCATTAGGATAAGGCACTTTTGAGGGCACTTTAAATGGTCACTCTTACTGGACGAGACATGAAACCTCTTATTTGGTGCAAAATTTAGTTGTCAGGTTTATTCTAGTTTTTAGCTCTGCCATTTAGATGATTACTGTTGGCTTTTAATGCCGCAGTTTCCCCTGAGAGTTTAGTGATTTATGTTCAGTCTGTGGCTTTAGGAGCAGCTTTCAGTAAAAATCTAGGTTGCGTTAGTCACTGCGTTGTCTGCCTCTTTGTAACCCATTTACTATAATATCATTGTTTGTAAAAGTGGGGCCAGGAACATGCTGGAAGATAAAAGTATTTTTCAGATTAATAGTGTAATTGTTCTGTTTTTGGTTATGTAACATTAGTTCTATGAGGCACTTTATGTAGGACAATACAGCAATATCGGTTATATAAATGTGGCCATGTGAAAAGATGATTTATGAAACAAATACTAAGAATCTGCCAACAGGTTCTAGTTTGGCTGACTTTATATTATGTTTTTTCAAATTAATTTCGAGTGCTGTGATTGATTACTGTGACACAAGCGGTACCAATTGGAATTGCTATTGGTTATTCAGATACTGAAGCCCCACCCCAAAATCACACACCATCGGTTGAGCCAGTGTTGTTGTGTTAGGATACAGGATGATTAATGTAAATTAATATATAAAACGTTATATATACTACTGTTCAAAAATGTTAATTAATACTTTTTTAGCAAGGATGCATTACATTGATCAAAAGTGACTGTAAAGACATTTATAATGTTGCATAAAATGTCAATTTCAAATAAATGCTGTTCTTTTGAACTTTACACAAAAATATTATGCTGCACAAATGTTTTCAAGATTGATAATTATAAGAAATGTTTCTTGAGCACAAAATGAGAATATTGGAATGATTTCTGAAGGACACTGAAAACTGGAGTACTGATGCTGAACATTCAGATTTGCCATTGTAATAATAATTTTTGAAAATAGAATAATTATAATAATTAAAATATTGGACACTATTCCTATTTTTACTGTATTTTTTATCAAATAAATGCAGCCTTGGTGAGCATATAAGCAAAAACATTTAAAAAATCTTACAGATCCTAAACTTTTGAACAGTAGTGCATAAATGTTTTCTTTTTAACTAAAATATATTTTTCCAACTAAAATTAGATGCCATTTCATTTAAAGTAAATTTGATTAAATAAATGATTATGACATTATTAAATTTAAAGGATTTTTTTGCCAAAGCAAAAACTACAAATGAAAAATAAATTTGAAAGACAAGGACCTTTAACTCTGTGTGTTTGTGTGTGCAGACGCCAGCGGCCCTCCCAGTACCGTATCCAGTGCCGGGCCCTCGTCTCCATCTGTACCAGAGCCCTCATCCAACTTCAGATTCAACAGCGAGTAGAAACATTTTTTACTCTTAGATCAGTTTCACAGTGTCTGTTTTAAAGGATTGAGGTTAAGATTGATACGGTCCTAGTTATCTACTTGGAAGCTGCTAATATTGTACTATCTGCACTTCTTCCTGAACAATACAGAGCCTCTTTGGCTGGATTCAGCTGATAGTTTGATCTGTCAGCAAATACAGCTCTGAAACCAGTAATTAGCTCTTCCGCTGTACTTCTGAGCTCCGGTGGAGTTGGATAGTAATTATGATCCCAGATTCAGCGGCAGAGAGACAGAGACATTACAGACAATAGTAATTGTCTGTGCATCTTTTTTTTTCCACCATACAGAGTAATGCAACTCAAATAAATACTCAAAGAAGCATACAAGTCCACATTAAAAATGTATTTAATCATTCAGATCCATTCACGTAATTTTAATTGTACCACTATTTTTTTTCAGTTTGTGTATATTAGAATTATTTTATGATTTTTTTATGTTTGATTTCTTTTTTGATCATGTGATTTGCTTTTAGATTTACATAAACATTGCTGTATTTTTATTATATGAAATGCAAAGGTATTGTTTGAGAATGATTCAAGGGATAGTTCACCTAAAAATGAATATTCTGTCATCATTTACTCACCCTCATGTCATTCAGAACCTGTATGAATTTATTTCTTCTGTTGAATATAAAAGAAGATATATTGAAGAATGTTGGTAACCAAAAAGATGATGGCACCCATTGACTTGCATAGTATTTTTTTTTTCCAAACCATGGAAGTGAATGGCTACCGTCAAATGTTTGGTTACCCACATTCTTCAAAATATCTTCTTTTGTGCTCAACGAAAGAAACTCGAACAGTTTTGGAGCGACTTGAAGATGAGTAAATGGCAGAATTTTTATTTTGAGCGGGATCCATCCCATAAAATGAGCTGCAATAGACTTTTCAAGAATGTTCAGCTGTTTGCAATCTGCTGTTGTGTTTACTCTGTAAAGTTGAAAGTATATTTAATTTTAGAGACTTATATTACTTAATAAAATAGCTTTAAAAGTGTCTGATATTTTTTTATGAGTGAAAGGCCTACACTGAATCACTGTGACTTATACCTGGCGTGATTTGTTGTTCTCTCCGACCTAATTGAGGTTTTGAAATTCAATCTGTGGTGCCAGTCTCAAAGAGTGTGATGCAAAACAATAATGATGACTCATGCTTTGCCCTCAGCTGTGCTGCTGTGTTGCTATAGTGACGGATTCTCATCCGCTTATTGACTTCAGCTGAATGAGTGACTGAACGTGTGTGTGTGTGTGAAGACAGCGAGCAATCGCAGCCTTCGCAGGCAACCCGCGAGCTAAAGATGAAGTCATAAACTGTGCTCTGTTAGCTCATTTTCATTCACATGGGGACAAATATGCCAAACGTCCAGTGGCTATTTTCCCACAGGGACCTGATGGAGTGGAATAGTTAAATATAATACAGAATCGGGCCTTTTAAGTTAATGATATTGTGCATATTCACTTAGCCTAGTTTGAATTGCATAGTAGCTCAGTCATTCTTGAGACATGGGACAAAACAGGTCCAGCAAGGGTAACTGCTATTAGGTTTAAAAATAAAAATATTTTCAATTTTAAATGTCATGAGGGATTAATAATAGAATGTATTTAACACAATTATCACCTTCAATTTAATTTTCTCATTATTATACCAAATCTATGTTTCTTAATGTCCTCTCACTACATCTAAAACAGTGTGTCCACAGAGAAGGGTTCAATCATTCATATGCAATAAAATGGATAAAAAAAATTTTTTAATGATGAAATAGAGCTTGTTTTATCAAAAGCAACACTTAATAATATCTCCTATCAAAGCAAGGTTGTTTTTTAATGACACATGCATGTTTAATACGATTTTAAGGTTGCGTCCCCACTTTTTGTCAACACCGTCAGACATTCAATAAAATGTAATAAAATCAGGGAATATCAGGGGCAGCTGTTACTCTAAAGGACCCCCTTGCCACAGTTCACCTCTGCAGAGTACATCAGTGTCAGACAGGCTCTGCTAAGTTTTATAGTTTTAGAATATTTTAAATCCTAATGTTAATATTTCCTTTGTCACAGCCATGATATGTCAACACCATCTTCCAATTTCTGAGGAACTTATTTGAAATATTTAGATAATTTTATTTTCCTGAAGCAGGTTCCATTAGCATCTAGCATCAACAGAAAAAAAATAAAATGCTACTACATGAACTCCATTGGTTTTGTGAAAGAAATGCCAAATTTGTCAACACCGCCAGATTTTGTGTTCCAATGATATATCAAAATACTTAAATGTGATTCTTGAATAAAAGCTTTATAAACAATAACATAGGCCTACTCACTGTTTGTTGTGTTTGTTTTAATACAGTAATTGACTGATTCAATGTATTTGATAGTTAAAATGACTACAAATTCAGGTTGTCACCTCCGTCAGATGTGTCAACTCCGTCAGTTCTGTCACCTCCGTCAGTTGAATATTTTGATAATATTTATGATATTTTATATTTGTTGTGGAATTATTGGTCACGTGAAAGTGTAATCTGCCTGCTAACAAGAGAATGTGTTTTGAAATGTTAAAAATATCTTGAATGTTGTTAAAGATAAAGCTGAAATTATATTACACAGTCCAAGGTAAAAAAGCACATTTTGTTAAAAAAGAGAAAAGTTGGGAGGTTGTATCAAAGCATAGCTCAGTAGCTTAGTACATATAAGATACATAAATGTAGTTTCATTTGTCTGAGTACAAGGTTTTATTTTTTCAATTTTGCACCCTGTTTTGTCCCACTTCTCAAGAATGACTGATCTGCATAATTCATTTCACAATTTATGCGCGATATAAATTCTGACAGGTTACCGAGACCATTAATCAAATTGAAATAAATTGCTCCCACCCCTCTGCCCTAAAATATCACCTGCTGGTAATAAAAGACATCGTCATAGCAACAAGAAGGTCAGTACTCTGCTACGGTGAGCTGGTGAATTAAGGGTCATATGATGCGATTTCAAGCTTTCCTTTCTCTTTGGAGTGTTACAAGCTGATTGTACATAGATAAGATCCCTGAAGTTGCAAAGACTAAAGTCTCAAAACCAAAGAGATATTCTTTATCAAAGTTAAGACTCTGCCACACCCCCCTAAAACGGCTCGTTCTAACACGCCCCCACATATCTACCTCACTATGTGGAAATATTAGCACAATGCGGCCCAAATGTGCACGCAAAGAAAGAAGGCATGGTTTCAGTAACCGCAGTTAGTGTTGAAGCAGCATGTCAGAGAGACGCTGTGTGTTTCTAGGCGAAAGCAAAAGCACTTTATTTGGCCTTCCAGAAGTAGATGCATTTAGGAATCTTTAAAGGGGTCATATGATGCAATCTCATTTTTTCCTTTCTCTTTGGAGTGTTACAAGCTGATTGTGCATAGATAAGATCCCTGAAGTTGCAAACACTAAAGTCTCAAAACCAAAGAGATATTCTTTATCAAAGTTAAGACGCCCCCCTAAAACGGCTCGTTCTAACACGCCCCACATATCTAGGTCATTATGTGGGAATATTTGCATAATGCCGCCCAAATGTGCAAGAGGAGGTAATTCTGACTTTGCTATGACAATCTGGCACTTCTGAATCAGCTACTGTTTTGTTATTAGTTTAAGTATTTGCTATTGACTGTTCAAATGCGGAGTTTTGCGCATCGTGTGTGCGAGCAAGTGAGAGAGAGAGAGAGAGAGCGAGACACATCACAGTGGAGTCAGCTGTCTTAACCGTGGCTTGTGTACTGCAAACACATACCAGCTTCAAGCTGTCAAGATGGCGCCGACGCTGATGGCTGCCTCCATGGCATGCTCCGCAGTTGTTCTTATGTTTTTGTTAGTTTGTCCTGTCTTTAGTTATATCCCTGCAATCAGTTTCACCAGAGACGAAT